GAAAATAGCACGTAAAGCATTTGACAGCAGAAGACTGTTGAATGCAATTATGGCGCGCGAATGACAAAACATGACGATATTTATTTATTGCTCGTAGCTGGTTTGTAGGGAATGTGCTAAGTGAAAAAGAGCATATAACGACTCAGCATATCATATTTGTTTTAAATAATTGATTGCTTTGCATCATTGCACAAAAAGTAATAAAATTCCAAGCGTAAGGGCCACTGGAATTTCGGGTTTGTAAGTACAACATTTTCTTTCAAGTTTTTGGTCTTCGTGAAACAGAAAGTTTGCGATTTCGAAGTTTCTTACAAACTTTTTTCTTGTAAAAAAGTTGGTAAATTTTAAACTCAAAATTCATGCCCGAAGGTTTCGTGAAATCCAAATTTCAAATGTTGGTAATTATTTCTTTTAAACTCAAGTTTTTTCTTCGTAATTACACACTTTATTTGTTAGTGAAACAGGCCTCTGATTGCACGTACATTTGCCTGCAAAATGGCACCACACCGATTTCATTCCGTCTAGCCGTTTTCCAGCGGCATCGGTTTTCTTCCCACAATTCACGAAATCGGTCATTTTTTTACAACCGGGGGTGCTGTCTTGCACGTGGCGCGTGCTATACTATGAAACCATATCAATACGCTAGTTCCATCTCTCCTCTATCCGGTGGTGACAACCGCTTCTCGCTGCGACACTCCGTTGCCGATTTATACAGCCGGGAAGCGGGCGCCGCAGGCCGGTTTTCGCCCGATCGTCGATTTGGCCGTTTCCCGTGTAAACCCTATGGCGCACGCGAGCGCGTGCTGACGGCGCACCCCCCGGTTGATCACCACTAAATTTTAATACCAAGGCCCCCCACGCCCACAGATTTGGCATGCCAAGTTTCACGCCGATACGCGGCGTTGTTCCGGCGCATTAAGACACATAAGGCATGACAGTCGCAGGCACGCACGGACAACTTATTGAATACCTGACCGGACAATTTGACTGAATAAACATGAATGACTGAATGAACATTTGCACTGAATTAACATAAAAAGCTGACCGCAAGGTAGCCTGGCAGAAAATAATAATGTTACATATCGGTCTGTGCTCATAATCGTATACAACATGCACTAATTTGTTGGAAAGATAAGTGTATTTCCTAGGCATTCTATAGAATGCCTGGTGGCTCAGGCAATCTAAATAATACCTAGAAATTCTATAGAATGCCTGGTCGGTCAGGCATTCTATAGAATGCCTATGCATTCTATAGAATGCATGATTCCACACATTGCCCGTAACATATACACCTATCTAACTATCAGCACGCAATATGTCCTGTATGAAGTAACATCTGGCATGAAGAACACAACCTAGTGAAAAATGGTAAGCTTAGGTTTCATTAGGTTAAGTAAGCTGGGATTAGGTTGGGCTAGGTGATGCTTTTTCACGACCATGCTCTTTTTATACTACATTTTAACATACGCCCTCCGCACTTAAAACCCGCGCCCCGTAGGGGGGGGGGGGGGCGAAACGCCCCCTGTCCTTTTCCGTCGATATCTCCTAAACGGCTGGATATATCGCCACCAAACTTTCAGGACCCCTCCGGACATCAATTTTACACATTGTGATCAATTTTTTTCCAAAGGCTATGATAGGTTGGCCACAAGTGACGTCAGAATGACGTCATGTTCTGTCATTTTCGACCGAAAAAGACCTTCGCGAGAATACCTGTCAGGCCTACAGCTTTAAAGATACAGAAAAATGATTGAACATAAATGGTGTAGAATTGACAGGGCTATAAAACTACCATCTCGGATTTTTGAAATTTTTGAGTTTTGACCCCCAAAAATCAAAAAAGATTTTCTTATATATTAGCCAAAAAATTCAAAAAGTTTTTTGAGTTTCGAAAAAAACGGAATATATGTGATAGTACCTACCGTCTTCTATCTACATACCAAATTTCAGATCGATCCCTCGTTTTTTTGCCAAGTTATAGCGAAAAAAAATATTCAAAAATGATGACGTCAAATTTTCAAACTCAATTTTTGGCAATTCTAGACCACGTACGGCAAAACAAAGACCACCATTAGACTCCCCGTGACGAGCTGCATCGCATCGATACCCATTTTATGCAAAAATATCAACTTAGAAATTTGACCTAATTTGACCTGACGTTGAACTGACCAAGATCCTGATCACGTTCACCTGATCACGTTCTTCACCAAAACGTGACCTAGGCTGGCCCCAAAGACTGCCTAACCCACATAATCGCATTTGTCATGTAAAATGGACCATAAAACATGCATCACACGACACTTTCATATTGTGACCCCCGGTGACCTGACCTCGCTGTGACCTGCCCTGGTATCAGTGACCTCAGATAGCAAAGTATGTGTTTGACGAACAATGTACCATCGATGGTTTTTAATAAATTACCAATTTACTCGATTTCACAACACATTTCTTGAAATGCCTGTGAACGGTGAAAATCCGGCCTTTGACCTGAGCTGTGACGTCATCAGTTTGACCTAGGTCAATGAAATTCGGTCACAAGGTAGTTCCCCGCTGGGGCTATCGAACGCCGTTTGAATTTTAAAAATCGGCCGATAAATTTCTGAGATCTTAGGGGGGCCGAAACGCCCCCCCCCCCTACGGATGGTAGGGTCCGCCGATAGCCCTACGGGGCGCGGGTTAATTATGACCCCAGGGAGTGGCCTCGCCAGGGAGAGTCTGTATTTGTTAGAAGTACGTACACTGATATGCCCCAGAGAAGGCTCAGTCTGGTAATCACCTCCTCAGCCCCGCCCGTTGCTTTCATGCACGATGCATCTCCCGACTTATGTGCCGTTTGTTGTTGTTGTTTGTTGCAGTTTGTGCCCGTCATGCTGTACCATTCTGTGTGGCCTACGACCGGAGAGGAGAGAAAGAGAGAGAGAGAGAGAGAGAGAGAGAGAGAGAGAGAGAGAGGGGGGAGGAACAGAGGCGCGACTGGCACCGCCATCTCCGGCTGGTTCTTCCCCGCTGATGATTGGACCCTTTGTTGAACAGAGTTGGTCTATTCTGAGACACCAGACGGTGGACGGCGATGACCAATACAAAAATGGAGATGAGAAGGTGATTGATGAATTGCTCTCATCCGTGACATCCATCGCCAAACGAATTGTTGTGCTTGTTATGTGACAGCTAAAGCAATGATGATATTTGATTCGTCTAACGTTGTGTCTAAATGTACTATTTTATATTCCAAATGGCTTCCTAAGGTGCGTCTGTCATAGGCGTCTGTTGCTTGCAAATTTTCCTGTGCCTCTGAGTTCTCAGTTCGTCATCCACTTGTATGACGTCATAGGTTCAACTTTCCTCACTGAGCCAGCGTTCTTTCCTTCAATCACAGCCCGTGATTGCGTTATATCCACATGCCTTCTGCAATGACTTCCCCGCTCGGCTAAAGATGCATCTCGTCATGCACAATTTTTCCTCCTGACTGAATTGCCAACTCATGTTCTGATAAAGAAGTAGAGGTCCCATGCTTCTGTCTAAATATAGACTATAATTACTACACGGGTTGTGAACGTCATGATGGACAGTTAGGTATTCCTAAGAAGTTGTACGTTCCTTTTTTACATACACGAAACACAGAAGTAACGTGGAAGTTATATTTCCTGTGAGCTGTTAGAAATGTCATATGCCCATCACTTTATTATATAACACGATTACATGCTCCAACTGATGCATAACATCCAATGAAATCTCTGTGGGGTATTAAAAAAGAATGAAAACAAATTTGGTTGTCGTCGACGACAAATTTGCAGACCTCCAGCTGCTCGGTACACCATGCTCTCAGCATTCGGAAGTAACTCCAGTGCCACCGATATTGTCACTTTACATACGAAGAAGCTGCTTACGATTCTCGAGTCGCACTGCTGGCTCACTCCGCCCGAATTTGTCCAACACCGGCCCTGTCACGACAGCATGCGTGATAATGCCTAGCTACAGCTGAAGTTGGTCAGGACGCTGCTTTGACAGGAATGCTATCATCATACCGGCAAGCGGGTCAGTGTGCCCGCGAAACAAAAGTCGATATACCTGAATGGGTGTGTTGCGATCCAGTTTGCATGGTGAAACTCACGGACTTGTGGCATGGTAGCCGTGACACGGCAAGCTCCCCTACCGTCTATCTACCGTTGTCGTACCGTACCGTCTACGTACCGTCCACCGTTGGTCTGTCGTTCTTTTTTTTATTCAGGCCTCCCTCCAACGGGCACTTGTAGCCTATTTACAGGAGGGCTCCTCCTCCTCCTGGCCCTTCTTCCCCCACCCCTCCAGGCTACGGCTGAAGTGGGAGCCTACCCCACACCTGGTGACACAGCCGGGGACGACGCCCGCGGAACGGGCGGAACCGGGAGTCGAACCCGAATCCGGCACCGCCCGCACCGCGGGTCGACGCCTTAACCGACTGCGCCACCAGGGCCGCCAATTCTTTTTGATCGTTCTTTTTGATCGTTAGACTTTTTGTAAATTCACCTTTCACGCATAATACCTTTTTGGGTGACTGGCGGCTTATTTTAAGCGAATTAGTTTTTCCGCGTTGCCTTTCGGCTGCTTACTTCATTCCGCACTCGCCAAATAGATCTTCGGTGTAGCGTCTGTAATGCTAATTATGTTTAAAATACCGAGAACAAATATAAAAACACACCTCTCCATATCTCCTGATCCTTGCGGTATGCCTTTTGCACTTGGCGAAACTCCTAGATTCAGCTCGCTGGATGATTTTTTTTCAGCCTCGCTGTGGAATAATGCCTGTCCTCTTCCTCGAATATAACCTCCTAAAGCTTTTTCACATCTGTTGTTGCATCTTCTATCGTATGTATGTCAGTGGCTAACCAATCACCAAACTCACTGTAGCTCCGCCTCAGACGAGCGGTGAAAAGCGCGCTTCATTGGCTGGTAAGTAGGTCTCTGGAATATGCACGCAGGAGCCGCCAGTATCGGGTAGCGGGGGCCGGTTGACCCGGTGCATGTTGACAGTGTGCGGCTGTAGGGACACCAGGCAGCTGCGAGACAGACAGACAGACAGACAGACAGACAGACCGACAGACCGACAGACCGACAGACCGACAGACCGACAGACCGACAGACCGACAGACAGACAGACAGACAGACAGACAGACAGACAGACAGACAGACAGACAGACAGACAGACAGACAGACAGACAGACAGACAGACAGACAGAGTTATGCATAAATAACACAGCCGGACAAGCAAGCCAGCTATCGTGACTTGACCTCTGCACCCTGGCATCTGGTGATCTGCCATGACCTCTGCCGATCTCTGACGAAGACTCTGGTGACCTCTGGCGACCTTTGACGACCTTTGACGACCTCTGAAGACTCTGGTGACCTCTGGCGACCTCTGAAGGCCTCTGACGTGACATCTGGGGACATCTGAAGACTTCTGGTGACCTCTAACGACATCTGGCGACCTCTAGTGAACTCTCGTGACCTCTCCGTCTGGTCACCGCCCATGCTTTTGCCGCTCAGCCGGCGCCGGGCTATTCAGGTAAGACGAATGATTTCTGACCGTTGGCCGCACCCTGTGACTGTTTGTTCTCTATACCCGGTCACAGGAGAGAGGGGGTGGGGTCGGTTCACGGGGCACGCCGTGACGAGGCAGAGAGCGCCATGGGTTCGTGATATTACAAATGGCACCTTGCTGATAGAGTATTCATGGCTCGAAGGGAGGTCGATGGTGGGGGATGGGTGCGTTGAGGACGGGAGAGGGGGTACGGTTAGTTCACGGAGGGCGAGAGAGGGGGTGGGATAGAAAGAAAGTAGAGAGAGAGAGAGAGAGAGAGAGAGAGAGAGAGAGAGAGAGAGAGAGAGAGGGAGAGAGAGAGAGAGGAGTGGATCGGGAGAGGGGGAAGGGATGTTCATTTTTCATCGGCCATCCGGCGATCAGTGGTGCCTAATGAGTGCAAGTTGTGGCCGGGTGCAGTGTTGGGTGTTGGCTGCGGCGACCAGTGCAGTGCTATGAAGAGTGCTGTGTTCTGGATGCATTGATGGACTGTGTGTGGAATACTTTGGTGATGTTTATGCATGAGCGCATCTTCTGTGGGTAGCGGTGTCACTTGTGTATTCATGCATCCATACTTTCTGTTACTCTGCACCGTCAGAAGGCATACCATTTGCTTGCAAGGCACGTACCATGACAAAGTGATTGATTGTTTGTCCTACAACCTATTTACTATATGCAGTTGACTGTTTTTCCCTGTTCGTTCCCAGTCACCGCAAATGCAATGCATAATAGGAAGGTATGCCAACAACATCTCAAGACTGTCTCTGCAAGCTCTATAAACTATCGATAGCTTTACATATTCGGTTGACACGAAAATGGCATTAAGTGCTGCAGCAATATTCGTAGGAATCACTTATATTTTTTAGGCTGCCACATGTCAGTGGCACCGGACACATAAAAATTACATAGACCGTAGAGGTAAGGCCTGCGACCGAAATCGCTTGTTCTTAGAATTCTAGAATGCTTATCTATATAGGTTTCCCCAGACTAACTAGGCACGTTGTGTATGTGCTTGATAACCTTTTAGAAATCACGCAAGGTTCTTGCTATCAGATGAAGCATGCCATGTTTGTGTTTGTAAATTGTGATAATTGGAAGGGTCAACTTCAGATGTAGCTAGCGCTAGCCGTCAGTCACCACACAATTGCCAAATGCACCTCAATTTACCAACTTGTGACGCTTCGATGGCGCCAAAATTATAATGAATCTGTTAGGAAAAGCTCATGCTAATCCGATGAGGACATAATAAGCTTCAACACAAGATTGAAAGCAGTAATTTTTCCTTCCTAATTGCATGTCTCTGATAATGAAGATGCTGATTGCTTCTAAATATAGCCATGATACTCTGATCAACTCATTGCTCGTGATGCAATACACAGTACACACACAGTCAGTAGAGGTGGGCGTTAGGGATAAATATAGTGCAATACATAATATTTACCTTTCCCGTCCTTCATGGCCACGGCTAAGGAATTTTGACTACCGGGACATCACAATGTGTCGTTTTCCAAGAATAAGGCAACCGAAGTGAAAGCATCGTTTGCGTAAGATGCATATTTCGTCCAGTTATATGTATCAACATTGTGACCAAGAGGATTGTGACAAAAGAAAACCGACTAAGGTGATGAAAATCGAAAATCACATCAGTCTTAACATTTAAATTTTGAACAGTGCGATCTTTTAGCCACCTTGGAAGTCCCTTTTTTGTTGGTGAGGGGTCTAAGAAATCAGCGTGGGCCCGACAGTCTTTTGGAGGCTCTCAGAGCTCATCGTTCCCCATCGTTTCAGGAGAGCCCTTAAAAGCTGAAGTAGAGGCCCCAGGAGCCCATGTTAGGCCAAAAGAGCCGAGCTGCGCGGCCGGAATGAATGAAGGGTATGATGATGATGGTATGAGTTTTAGGATGCCTCGGCGACAAGGGCCATTTGGCGTCCACAACTTCGTGTCCAATATCATAACTAGAAAAATAGTTGGCAGTAAGAAAATCAGTGAAGTTCATGCAGAAGAGAAAATATTCGATCAAGCTACGGGCTCAGAGCCAAGTAAGCCACTTTGGCGAGTCGGCGACGTTAGTCTCCAGAGAGTGCATAGACGGAATGGAGAGTAGCGATATCATGCAAGCGATATCATAATAGCTCCATTTTTTCAGTCCTTTGACCTTAACTTTGACGTTAAAATTTGACGTTGGCTAAAACGGTTCTCGATGAGTGGCTAGAACGTTGCACGGGCTACGTGTTGACTGCTGATGTCAAAATTTTAAAAATCTTGGGGCACTTTTGCCGCTCCCCGTCATTTGACCTTGACTTTGACCCTAAAATTTGATTTTGAGGGAAACGGATTTCGATGCCAAATCGCACTAAACGTGACCAAATGTGTGCCAAGTAACCTTCGGGAAACGACTATAGCCTAATTTTTAAGCCTGTCTAATCGTTTAAAGCGCTCTAATGAAAAGCCAACGCGAAACCTCCATGCCTTTGTTACTGGCCAGCTGAAAATTTCATCTAAATCTTGATTTTCTTTTGACTCTATTTCTTGCCATAGCTTGACCCGAGCCCTACTTATTTGTGCAATTAAAGCGACGAGACAGGCTTTAAAAAATCCTACTGTAATAAACCTATTGTGAAGCGGATCCATTCCGCTAATTCATTAGCTTAATCAAATGCGATCCTCTGCCATGCCTCCAGCTGTGCTGCTCCCGATGCAAACTTAAATAAAGCTTGCAAATCTACTTCCTCGTTCAATCTGTGACTACCAATGCCTACACTATTTGTTTCGACCTAACAAATGGCAACCACTGCCTACACCCCAGCCTCCGTGTCTCGAGTCGACACAAACTCGCGTGTCACTCCGAAGGTGACCTGACTGGTGTGTTATCCGCAATCCCGCCCTGGTCCCTGAGTCCACCGAGCCACTGACCTCAGGGGCGCTAGCTTGCGGACCTCGCCACCTTTACAGGTCATGCATCTCAAGATCAGTTTAGCATGATCGATCGTTGCTTCATGACGCTCTTCTCTAAGGCGCCGGGTCATAGGGTAGTCGGCTCGATAGGGCGTGTATGTTGATTAGAGGTCAGCACGGATGCGCTGACCCCTGGGGAGGGGGGGGGGGGGTCAGCTGAGTCTGACGGCCGAGTTCATACCTACGCCATTTTGTTGTGGATCCAATGACAGGTGCATTTTTATGCTGAGAAAATGTATGCTACACAGCAGCGCCGGCGACGTGGTTTTGCACGGAGCTGTGCACATGTCAAAGTATTGATCAGTGATCACACTGATCAGTGATAAAGTCAACCGAAGAGTGCTCTGCACTTTCCATGTGAGAGGAGGAAACATGACACATGCGACTAACGAAATATACGATGCGGGGTTTCCAGGTTTTCGGCGTTACATGCATGGCTATATATGCGGTCTAGCTGGTCTATGGCTCATATTTCTTATTGTGGTGATGTATCCGGGAGGTTGAATTTGAGGACATTCCAGAGAGACTGGGACTTGGGAGTGCTCAAACCAAGGATAACTTTCATGTCACTTTGTTTGGTTATCAGAGGCAAATAACAATAAATGTATGCGCCGAGTGGCTTATGATAAATAAAAGACGCAGCAGCTCCCACCTGGGTCCTTAACCCTTGCCCGCACACGGGGGGGGGGGGGGGTGGTTGCCACCCCAGGTAGTTTTTATGCTCTGCACTCAACATTTTTAGAGCTAGAAGCCTGATTTTTCGTATAGCTGCTCCTCTATGCTTTCTTGATGTCCACTGAAAATGTCAAGTTTCTGTGGTTTTTGGTTTCGGAGATATGGCCTTGTTTTTTCAGGTCATGTCATGACCCAAATGACCAAGTCTCAACATCTTTCGTTGGCTATGTGCCTTGTGAGCTTTTGACACCTTGATTTCGGCCTTTTTGCCAGTCTTAACTCTTATCTCCCACCTATCATGGAACATGTTGTTCGACGATGTACAGATGTCAAGGTCAGGGTCAAGGTCAACCTAGGTCATCTAAAATAATTGCGTTTTAGGCAAGCTTAATTTACTTTTCGTAAGGTTTTTTGACTGCATTTTTGGTAAAAGCTTCTCAGATCATGATTTCATGTAATATGAACACCTAAACAATCGGTGCACACATCAGTATACACACAGAAACACACAGACATACAAACACATATCATTGACCTTGACCTAACTTAACCTGAAATGACCTCAGCAGCAAAAACCTGGTCGGGTAGTGTGACAAAGAGGTTCTAGCTGGCTTGGCACCAGAAAACGGCATCGTCATCGGTATGTGATAAGCAGCGCACTTCATATCCAACGGTGACCCCAAAACAGCAACAATTTTTAGTTTGACCTGACCTGGAAGGTCAATGACTGACCTGAGAAGGTAAAACTGGGTATCATTGGATTCCTTCCCAAAGAATCTTTTTGGTCGTTACCGCGAAGCTCTATCTCCAACAGGAACGAAATGGCGGGGGTGGCAACCCCCCCCCCCCATGTGCGTTCTAGGATGGGAAAATGGCATGTGCGGGCGAGGGTTCAGTTAATCATGGATTAATTAGACAGTTTCTAGCTCTACAGATGTCGATCCATCGGCATCCACAAGCATCACCCACTGACGAAATGCGACTCATTTCAATCCTTATCGCCGAATGAGGTATGCACCTTGGTGATCATAAGGTTAGACACCCTGCTCCGACCGAGAGGTCAGCAGGTTTTGCGGGCCATCTGATCTGGGTGCATTGGGATGATGCTACCGTTGCGGTTAACTCTGGTGTAATGTGACTGTAGCAGAAATCTGATGCTAAGTGTTGTTTATTAGCTGTAAGTGTTCCTATTGTTATTTATTAGAAACTGGAAGCTATAGGCTCTCATAATGCTGTCACTCGAAAGCCTAGGTAGCCCTTCCTATATCTCTCCGAAGATACTTTTTGGCAGATTTCACTTTTGTTGCAATCATAGCCGCTATTCACACAAGAATGTGTGTGTCGGTGTTGTTGTTTTTTTTGTGTGTGTTTATCGTGACCATCGTTGGATTCACTGTTTATTGACTTGTTTTTTTGGTCTTTTGTTCCAGACTATGAAATATTCGAAGCACATTGTTGTATGGCTGGCTCTCATCACGCTCATAAAGATCCACGTTAGTTCGGAAACACCACACAAAGGTCAGAAAAAGTTCCAGATAACCTAAAATAACAACTGGCTTTTCCACACAGAAATGACCCGGGAATTGAACTCCGGCAGGTTTAGGGGTACGGACCTGCTCTGCTCCTTCCTTTCTTCGATTCGTTGATATACTCGAGGGTACAGCTTCACTTCATGTCCCGTAGCAGTTTGAGCCCTCCGACTCAACGGGCCCTCCGACCATAGGCGTCGCCAGAGATTTTCGGTTGGGGGGGCAAAATCAACTTTTGTGTTAAATCTTGCCTTCCTCCAGTCGTTACTCATTCATTTTACATATCATTCAACGCGCAATGGTACGAGGAATACGATGGTGACAAGGTTTTCCTTGTAGCTATGACTTGCCATTTTTTTTTTTAAAGAAAATTCATTTTCTTTTTAAATTTTTGAACAAAAACGACCGGTAGAATCACAATGGCTGCGCTTGCCGACGCACTCTGGAGAGCCCCTGTGCAGACGCTCGTCGCTCATGATCATAAAAAAGGTTAAACGCTCAGCTTAATCGAATCACCTTGCTGAAACTTTCATTCACGCATGCATGCAGAGGTTCTACGTAAAATGCATAGGGCTTATCCCAGCCGCCGATTGAAGCTAAGTTGGGCTTTCGGCGGAGAGTGAATGTCGAAAGTGTGAATCGGAGGTACCTACCTAATTCATCTTTGCTCCAGTGAGAGGAGGTATTTTGTTCACACGAGAGTGTGAACAAAAAGTTTCTCGTTTTTCGTGTGTAGGGAAGCGCTGCAAATGCGAAGAAAAGATGTTAAACGGAACCAAAATTTCGCACGGCATAGCGGCAAAGGACCCCTTGGCGACAGGCTTGGGACTTCCAGGCCATTTTAGGCCACTCAGGGTCAGTGTGAGCTCTCAGAGGCCTGCTTAGATTCCTGAAGATCGGTGTTGGTCACCCCAAATAGTTACGTGTATGTGGTGCTTTAGGGCTTTCCGAGCCCAAGGTGGGGCCCTCAGAAGCCAGTGTGGGCGGCGCCGCGGGCGCTAAGAGACCAGGCCTAGGGTGAGCAGGGAGCCCTCAAATAGCAGTGTGAACCTGGAGGTCTGTGTCGAATCCCTAAGGACCCTACATAGGGACATAAGAAACATGTGCTGGGACCCTCAGAGGCACACCTGAGTCGTGGCCCCTAAGCTGCAGGCTTGGGCTCAGCAAAATCTGTCGCCTAAAAAACTCGGCTGAGCTATCAGAGGCCTAAGGTTCTCAGAAATATTTGAAAGTATCCTCAAAGATCCGTGTGGCCCTTCAGAGGTCCACGCATGTGTAAGGTCCTCAAAGATCCCTGTATGGGCCCTCAGAGAATATGAACACCAGTGGGACTCTCAGAGGCTTTGGGCCCTCTGATGGCTTCTTAGAGCTCAGTGGAGCTCCTTCGGAGCCTGTGTGAAAAGCAAGCAGTCATGAGCCCTGTGGCACTTGAACGGTACTTGAGTCTGTCGCAGACATTTGACGAGAGTTGAGAAAGGCCCGAAGATTGTGTCACGCTTTGAACGCAAATTTTGTATCAGCACTTCAAAAGTTATGAAAATCAGCTATAAAATGTAATAAACAACCAACGAGGAACATGAAATGAATCACAGTATTGACACTTCCGAGTCTGGAGTCGGTGTCTTGACGATGTTGGCGACTGCGACTCCGACTCTGGCTTGAACGAGTCTGACCTCACAGGCATTCTCAGAAAGGTACCCCCACCCATTTTTCCCGACTCCAAAATCTCATCGGATCTGTATCGATCTCAGGGGGTGCCCGGTCCGAGGTTGGGGGGGGGGGGGCAAGCTGCCCCGCTTGCCCCCCCGTGGCGACGCTAATGCCTCCGACTCACCGGGACCGAGAAATCGGGATAGAAGCAGTGCACCAGTGCCACCTGGGGACTGTTGTAGGAAGCGCACAGTCGAGACTGTCCCGCTTGGCTAAAAACGCGGTGTACTGTGGGTATAGGCATTTTGTAGCGTGTACTGGCTACTGACTTCTGTTAGACTGCTTTGTTTATAAATTATAAGTGTAGTAGTGTTGGCAAAACCACGGTGTGCGTGTGTCCGCTCTTAACGATAAAAAGTCGTCTCGGACACAAACAATTACGAAGTGTAGGTAGGCATTGTGTAATTGTACTCATTTGGGCCATGAAACAAGGAAAACTTTGGGCTCCTTCGGAAGCTATCTGCTATCATGACATGTGTGTATCGTTTTTCTTCAGCTGCTCTCGTTTGGGACTATGAACGCACCACGAAATCGGTGGTTTCGACCACCACGACTACAACGACTCGGCAAACGACCACACCTTGGGCCGGCGAAGAAGCGTGAGTAAGAACGTCGTGCCGTTCTCTGTGATTCTGTCCAGTTAAGATGAGAATCACGAGGCATGTAACTTCATCTGTGGTCCTCAGACTTCGGCCAACAGCCCTCCCCATTATCCTTCAACCATAAATGGTTCATTTTGAGTCATTAAAACCTCTGTCCTGCGTAGGCGCTTGAACTTTGTTGTCGTCCAGACTGGCTATACGATTCCTTTACTTTAGTGAAAGCCAATTTTATCTTGATGTCTCATAGGCCGGCGAAATAAATAGAGGCGATTTCAATCAAATTCTCATGATTTGGTAACGTATGTCGTATACCAATTTTTAATATTTTTTCCGAGTGATATTGGTATTTTGTTGGGAGAATTCACTATTAAGCCTCATTTGTGTCAGGATGCTTTGAATTTGGCACAAAGGTGGTTTTAACTTTTATCTGCATCTTTCAAAACGGCCTTGCTTTTTATCATATTACCCTGGCTTTGGTTGGTAGTTTAGTTTCATGTCGGGACAGTGTTCCCATTTGTGTATAATCAAGATCACTGGTGCGAAGTCTATGCTCTGATTCGTTTTGCTTGTTCTCTTCTGTCCCCAGTCCGGAGCTGATTCCCTGGCAGCTGTTCAACTCCCGATCTCTCTGGGACATTGGACACCAGTCTCCTCAACAGACCCTCTCCGGTCCCCTTCTCTACGACGTCCGCTCCGCCGTGGATGCTGCCATCGCCCGACTGAACCAGGGGCTCTCGACGCCAGTCAGTCATGAAAATCGCAAACCCTACACGAGGGCTGACTTACTGGACGGAAGGCACAGATATCTGCCCGGTCTCGGGTCCGAGTATGTGATCAACTTCGTCGGCAGGGGGTCGGCGAGAACGGAGACAGTACGACTGAAGCGGCCGGTGGGTCAGCTGATGTCTACGAAATCGAAGAGCGGCTCTGGGGAGGTTATAAGACTTGTTGTACCCTACTATCACGAGCCGAAGACTTTCGGCGCGTTCTTGGCTAACCTGGCGCACCTGATTTTAGAAAAGAACGAACCCCTTGAGCTGCTCCTCATCTTTTACTGGCGTGGATCTCCGGCAGCAGAAGCCTCTGAAGTCTTGCGCGACAGGAAACGCGTCGGGGCGGCTCTCGACAAACTGAACCACCACGCCGGCCGCACTGTGGCGCGTTTGGTCGACGAAAAGAGACTATTCTCTCGCGGCCATGCCCTGCTGCGAGGCGCCGAACAGCCCGGTGCTAACGGAGGTGACGTCCTGCTCTTCTTCTGTGACGTCGATATGTTCATCAGTACTGACACGCTGCGACGCTGTCGCACCAACGCCATACCGGGAAAGAGTGTGTACTACCCAATCGTCTTCAGCACGTATAACCCGTCGCTGCGCGCCATGGCCTGGGACAAACCTCTCGAATCTCCCTGGAAGTATCATCCCGTCACACGAGATGTAGGTTTCTGGAGAGACTTTGGATACGGCATGACGTGCCAGTATCGCTCCGATTTCCGTCGCGCGGCAGGGAAATATCTCATCTCTAACACATGGGGTGGTGAAGATGTGCACCTCTTCAAACACCACCGCCGAACGGGGATCGAGGTGGTGCGTGCACCAGACCCCGGACTGGTGCACGTGCACCATCGTGCCAGGTGTGACATCAGTCTGACACCAGGTGGTGCGGGATGGTGCGGCGGCTCGCAACTACTCACCGAGGCCTCGTCGGGCACATGGGCACGATGGGTACACAAAATGCAACAGGGACGTATGAGTCTGGTAGTGCCTGAGGAGTAAATGTCGCTGAATAAAAGGAGATTGATGCTTGTCCTGTAATGCGAGTTTCAATCGTTGAAATTCGCACGTTGACGAGTGGTTTCATGCAACTCCGTCAGATGCTATCTGCTTTATATGAAACCGTCACATTGCTTTGTTGAAGCCTGACATTGTACAGGATAAAGCTTTGAAAAAGTATAATATTTGTTATGACCTTTTCCTCGAATTAAGAAATGTGAAAATTCGAAAGTGACGTAGGTATTCTAATGGTTGAAATTTCGCCCACAGGGCATCGTCAGAGACAAGCAAATAGCATCGTGCAAACATGTACAAATCAAATATCTTGCAATTGCCGAGCCATAAATGTCACATAAATGGCTCGGCAACAGCAAGATATTTGATTTGCACATGTTTCCTCAATGCTATTTGCTTGTCTGACGATGTCCTGTGGGCGAAAATTCACCCAACCAATAGAATACGTCACTTTCGACTTTTTACATTTCTTAATTCGAGGAAAAGGTCATAACAAATATTATACTTTATTATAACAAGATGTTACTCGCGAGAGCACTCAACAACCTATCAGGGTAAAGCTTATATAACTCTAATAAAATCCGTTGGTATGTGTCAAAAAGGCTGTATTTTCAATAGATCATGCGATGCGCGATACGATACGATGCTTTGTTGTAACTAAATACCCCAGTCTTTTTTGTGGTTGCTACTTGTTATTGTTGTTGTTGTAGCTTCTTTTCAAGGTGGCACACGCAGTAAGGTGATATTTCACGTCTTTGCTGCTGTGTTGCTTCGTGATATTACTAATAATATATTTCAATGGATGCTGGTGGGATCATTTTCTCTTTACGTTACTTTGCAGCGCGTAGCATGTCTGCAGTTGATTTTCGACGCCTAACACGTGTGGCAGGTTTTTTTTTTCAAATAAGGAAAGGTATTTATTGCAAATTTTCATTTGCGCGTGTCTGTACTGTTTCTATTTCCATCGTGACGTATCAGATTCAGACTGCTATCTGACGAAAGTGTTCCCCATAATATGCTGCATTGTCTGCTCAATAACACGCATCTGCATGCTCACTTGTGTAGGTATCCGCAACACGCACAACACTCGCGGAGCAGAACACTTCACTCTTCCTCGCATCAGAACAGAGTCCTACCTCTGCTACCGCGGTGTGATGTGGCTGAACAAGTCGCGCATACCTGTCGGTGACAGGCATTTTCGTCGGAAACTTAAGCGACACATATTGTCCAGGCGTTGAGTGAGTGTGCGTGTGTTGTATGCATTATGTATCACGTGCTGACTGAGATGTGGTGAGCGAATGTGCGTGAGCTGTATGCATGCATGATGTGCGTATGGACACGACACATGCATTAGTCGATTTAATAGCCTACCCATGTACATGACGTGCAAATGAGAATAGCCACCTAGTTTGTGGACATATTGCGAAATATATCTGAATCTGAATCTGAATCTATCCTACGATTAGGTACCAAATATGTGATCGAATAGATACCCTTTGTTCTCGTGTGATGCCTTCACAATAAACGTTGAAAATGTTTCCCTACAATAAAGGGAACATAAATTATATCAAATACCACTGTTATTTTTGATGCTGCAACTGGGGAAACACTTTGGAAACACTGCAAAAATACAACTAGGGAAAGACCAAAATCTCCATATTAGTAGAAGAAGTATAGTAAGTGGCAGCATTGCGGCATTCAGTAAGAAGGGGGCAGTCATTTCGCTTTACCATGAATGTTTTGGTAACATATTACATCGTAACGATAAATGATAATATGCACGTAAGTAGTACATATAAGGCCTTGGGTTGGTATGTTTTCATGTCGCACTCGCAAAAGGTCATCACATACCTATGCCAATTAATCATTTTAATGCTAAGAAACAACAATGCGACATTGGTAAAGACAGGACAAACAATAACATTCACTTTTCACTGAACTGAAGGCAGCGGACGCTGAATTCAGGCAGAAGGGCAGCACAATTTCCCTCGATTTAGGTCTAGAGCTGTGCACTACCTACGCAGGACCACGAACCTGATACCGATGTCCACCTATCCGCTTGTCCATTCGCAAATCACGCTTGTCCCCGGACCAATGTTTTGGTTAATACGACATATAGGAAGCTGCAGTTTCTTCAGGCCTTTTCTTTATCCCAGTTCGAAACCTGATGTTAAAGGTAGTGTGCCACCTTTGAAAGATTTCCCGTTTTATTTTTCCTAGGATAAGAAGCTTCTGTTTTTACCTAATATCGCAAAAAAAATCAAAAATGGGCCTGGAATAGTGCCTTTTTCGCCTAAAAGTTTATCGGTTTTTAGATATGTATAACAACTGTAGTGGGCTCACCTGCAAACAGGCGTCGGGCAACAATCGCGAATGCGGCGCACTTGTGACAATAAGCAAAGGTCATTATAGTGTTACGACCATACGACGTACGGGAATGAGTTATCAGCTGACTAATCGTAGACAACACAATGTCGAGCCTTAAACTGTAAGCCTGTATTGGTATTGTTTCTTAAATTTGGCTGTCGAACATTAATTTGTGGTTTGAAATATGATTTTATGTAAAATAATTGATATGAAACAGCCGTCTCTTAAGTTATGACCCCATTACACCACACGCAAGTGGCAGAAATGACAATGATCAGCTGACGCATTTTTCTTGGCCGAAGTCAGAGCGCGCGGCCCGACGCACCACGCGTATTTGGAAATTCCGACCTCGACGAGCATCAGAAGCCACCTAACAGGCGTGTTCGAAACCGCAGGAGATGATGATGAACGGGTTTATCGAAACTTGATTGGATGAGCCTATCGGTAATAGCGATTTTAGTGTGTGCATTTATTGTTCATAGTGGTGTGAAATGTGGTTGGGGTACGACCGACAACCCGTCGGGGCGAATTTCGCACTGGGGTACTCAAAATTTGAAGAATTTAAGACGTTTCCATAAGTTTTGAAGGTATGGATAAGTTCTAAAAATCCGGTTCTCCTTATCCGGGTCATTAACTCCATATGGTCCAAGAAAGCTGGCACACTACCTTTAAAAGAATATTCCATTGACGTTCATTGATACATTTATTAATTTGGCTCATAATGATAAGCTAGCCGAGGCGCCCCTCAATATACATTGAGGCGCTCCGCCCCTCCCCCTCCCCCCACGCAGCCCGCGGCATCTGCCCACCCCCTTCCCCTACCACCCCCTCCCCCCCATCAGGCACGCGCTCGAGAGGCACAGACGCCCGACTCGAACCAATCAGAAGCTAGGACACAGACGGCGTACGCGTTATCTCCCAATCAGCACGACCCTTACAGAATACACTTGATTCTGCGTCAAATCAAAATGCAGAGCACCGAAACGAAAGTTGTTGATTGTTGCGTGATTGTTGAATCCGTGTGAGGTGACTGGTTGTAGCAAGTGACATTTATCTTTTAGTGAAATTACAATATTGGAAGACACAACGTACATCGGTGTTCACGCCTTACCGTAACAGTGCAAGTGGGACTCATTCTAATTTGCGCTTTTTGTGTGACGCTAGCACGATCCGGTGAGCCAAACATGGCTGCCCTGAGGCAGCGGCCTTCTCGTCTTGTATGCCAAAGCCAGACACTCAGCTGCATGGTCTCGGTACGGGTCGGCCACCCAGCATTTGGTGAGTACCAACCGCGGGCCTCAGAGGAATAGCCGGGAATATTGTCATATTTGCTCTTATCATTTCATCTGAACCCTGAGTTTGAGTTGACCCTCCGCGACTTCCCCTTTCCCTGCCCCCCTCCCCCACACACCCCAAGTGAGCGCCCCGCAAACCGTCAGCAGTCGGGTGACGGCCGGTTTACGTCGGTTCGTTCGTTGTTAAATGTTCCTACAGGTGACGCTACCATGCTCAGATGCCCAATGACAAGATGGCGCTGGTGTGAGTGACGGCTCTCACCTTTTGGCTCTCACAAACAGGATTGTAGTTTTATGATTGTTTCAAGAAGCCCTTTGACCTGGGTATCGCTGTTTTTCGCTTCGATATAAACACAGCATACGACGACTTTGATGCTTTGGAAGGTAACCAACCCTCAATAAATACTTATGTATCCGTGTTGATTAAAGGGACTATCCCACCTTTAACAAAAGGTAGTGTGCCAGCTTTCTTGGACCGTATGGAGTTAATGGCCCAGATAAGGAGAACCGGATTTTTAGAACTTATCCATACCTTCAAAACTCATGGAAACGTCTTAAATTCTTCAAATTTTGAGTACCCCAGTGCGAAATTCGCCCCGACGGGTTGTCGGTCGTACCCCAACCACATTTCACACCACTATGAACAATAAATGCACACACTGAAATCGCTATTACCGATATGCTCATCCAATCAAGTTTCGATAAACCCGTTCATCATCAGCTCCTGCGGTTTCGAACACGCCTGTTAGGTGGTGCGGTAGACCACGCCCAAAGCCAGGGCCCCGGTAACGTGAGGTAGCCGAGTCAGGGCAGCGTGCGCTGACCCAAGCCGGAGCCGCGCGTCCTCCCGGTGTCATGTGATAGCCCGGGGCTGCCCGCGGGGATGCGGTAGACCGCGCCCAAAGCTGCGGCCCCGGCTTGGGTCAGCGCACGCTGCCTCGACTCGGCTACCTCACGTTACCGGGGCCCTGGCTTTGGGCGCGGCTTCTGCTCATACTTTGTGGTGCAGTGGTGGTGCGTCGGGCTGCGCGCTCTGACTTCGGCCAAGAAAAATGCGTCAGCTGATCATTGTCATTTCTGCCACTTGCGTGTGGTGAAATGGGGTCATAACTTATAAGACGGCTTTTTCATATCAATTATTTTACATAAAATCATATTTCAAACCATAAATAATGTTCGACAGCCAAATAAAAGAAACAATACCAATACGGGCTTACAGTTTAAGGCTCGACATTGTGTTGTCTACGATTAGACAGCTGATAACTCATTCCCGTACGTCGTATGGTCGTAACACTATAATGACCTTTGCTTATTGTCACAAGTGCGCCGCATTCGCGATTGTTGCCCGACGCCTGTTTGCAGGTGAGCCCACTACATTTGTTATACATATCTAAAAACCGATAAACTTTTAGGCGAAAAAGGCACTATTCCAGGCCCATTTTTGATTTTTTTTTGCGATATTAGGTAAAAAAAGAAGCTTCTTATCCTAGGAAAAATAAAATGGGAAATCTTTCAAAGGTGGCACACTACCTTTAAGTTGAGATAGCCAAGTTTGCGGCGAGGTTCAGAAACCACTATTTATCTAGGTTGCAACCCCCGCGGCCTCTTGGTGTTGAAGAAATTCGTTCCCTTCATTTGAAAATGGGCCTTGTACAAGGCCCTATCTTCAACACGGAGCGACCGTTAGTGTGACGTCACCTCGTTTAGTCATTCTGATTTAAATGGGTTTGTTCGTTGAAAAATCGCTTAAAACTTGGTCTCAACTTTGTTGTGGTCAGGGGCGGATCCAGAAAATCTCCAAGGGAGGGGCCATTAGAAACCAGGAGGCCCCCCCCCATAATCCCACCTGTTGGAGGCCCCATCTTCCCACTTGTTGGGCCCCCCCCCAAAAAAAACTGCGTCTATTGAGCTTATCTAGCTGTTCAGGCAACATCTCAACATCTGTGCAGGCTTGGAGGCCCTCTGTGCAGGTTAGGAGGCCCTGTAAAAGTGGTCATCTCTGTGAGTATAAGAGACCTCCAAGTTATGAAAAGCTTTACCAATCTTCTAACAAAGAAGTCTTCTCAGCTAGTCTTCTAAGAAATAACTAAGTGGGTAGGTTAAAAAAAAAACTCATCGGATTTCGGCCACTTTATTTTCAGGAGGCCCCCTTTTCAGCTTTTTAACTTTTTAACTTTTTATTTTATTTTTGAAAAAAAATCGGCCAAGGGGGGGTCATGGCCCCCATGGCCCCCCCCCCTTGTATCCGCGCCTGGTTGTGGTGCCTACAGAGTAAAAAGAATCAGCTTTATGACAGTAATGTGGCCTGGGGAAGGAGGTAATTTTGGGCTGTGACGTCACATATTTGAATGTTTGCGTTTGGAATATGAGAAGCCTAAGATGTTAAATGAAAAATAAATGCCAGAACCGTGTTCCTGGTCATCCAATCTATAAAGTCGGGCACAATTTAACTGGTTTTAACAACATTTTAGAAGGTGGGATAGTCCTCAAATGATTTACACGTATTTGCATTGCCGGGAATAAGGGATGAATAATGTAGGTACAGAACGAGACATGATGCATCTATGTATAATACATAGTTATATAAGTAAGTTTGTGGCACATACGTTATGAAAAAAATGCATTTATGGGTAAGAATTCTGAATGGCGATCTATACCCATTTATTTATACGTAACGCCGCGCAAGGTAAGTGTAACGAGCTGAGAGGATGGAGCGTCTACATTCGCATCTATAGATGGCCTTGATTCACAATTCCTTTCTAGATGGCAGCTCAGCGAATGGATCTGACAATTCACCATTAGATCACCACAGCAGCGATCGGTGGGGGTTGTAGAGATGCCGCTAGCATGGGGCCTGCAGATGGCTGCTTATTTGTTAGCTTCGCTGGCAGCGAGCTCCATTGGCCATTGCAGTGCCATAGGTGATATGATGGGATGGGACTATATGATATCACACGGGGCCGGTAAAATGTTTCATTCAGGACCAGGTGAGCCTTTTGCGTTAGACAATGATCCGTCCGTATGCCATTTTAGATCAAATGAGGTCATGACGGGCAGCGCTCGTGATATTCCAATGGTGACCTTAAACAGTAACAGTTTTTAGTTTCACTTGATGACCTGAGGAGTTAAAATTGGGCACCATTAGATTTGTCTTTTACCAATGAGTCTGATTTTTGTTGTAAATCCCTATCGCCACCAGAAACCTACTAGGCACGGCTGGTGAAGGAGGTAGTACCCCCGAGAGCTATCGAATTCATATAAACATTAATGGTGCCAGGAATTGTTTTCAATATAATCCAACATATTCGAGTACAATAATTTTATATTAAAGATACCAACGGTAGTGTAAACAACAACAACAATAACGATAACAATTCATGATAGATAATAACAACAACAAACCATTCCCTAGCGTAACATGTTTCGCCCGTTTCATTTAGCAATCTGTAAAATGATTTAAAGCAATCGCTGGCAAGCGCATTGCGCATAATTAATTTGTAACTGTTTGTGTAAGTAAGTAATTATAGGTACCCATACCTTCGTGGTTGTTTTTTTTAACGCAATATACGCGATTTCAGATAATAAACCTCTTGTAGTAAAGAGCAAGTAGCATACGAATATATTCAAGTAGCAATTACATATAAATACGCGTATTTATATGTAATTGCTACTTGAATATATTCGTATGCTACTTGCTCTTTACTACATACCTGTCCAATATATCTACAAATAAACCTCTTGTTGAACCTATTTTATGTTGGGAACATACGTTTGCTAAAAGTTATTTAATTTCCCTCTGTCCTTTTTTAGTTTCTATGTGTGCTTAGCTGAGCACACTCCATGAGCAACTGCGCCTTTTCACATCGATTGAATCAGATTCACAGCCAATGCTTAATTAAAACAAGATTGATTCAATTAATGATAAACCAATTTTACCTTAGAAAGTGCAGCCTTTTTTATCGCATAACAGCATTTAAGACAGACAGGAAACCTTTGGTAATACATTACTTTGAAGTCTTTTGTTAAAGACTAAATACGACTTTTCTATGAGAGATTCCCTTGCTTTGAACTATCGTAAAAACAAGCACTTCGCGTATTATTTTCGTCTATAGAATAGATCACGAAGTCATTCTCCTGAGCCCGTTCACACGTACGACCTTCGTGGTCGGCGGAGCAGTGAAGGCCGGTATTCTCGTCCAGTTGAGGCCGGCTTTACCGACATTAGTCTCCACACCAGTCCTCCGTTTTCCGTACTGTGTGGGTGCCACCACCTCACCTCCCGCCATATAGGCCCCCCAGAACCCAAACGTGCCGTGTGTGAGTATAGTGTGATTACAGGCAGCCAACAGAGCCAGATCCGTGCCCGGTTTAGATTGGACACCGTCACCAGCCAGAACGATATCAGTAGAGTTGGATCGGGATATCAGTTCGTTTTTACACCACTCCAGGTCGTCGGAAACAACCACGAATAATGCGTCGCGGTGGCGACTTCGCATCAGTGCCAGAGCACGCTCTAAGTAGTCCCTGTCCACCAGCCGACCCTCGACCATTTTAGGCAGCCACGTGGCATAGTCGGTGCGACGCACGTGCACGCCAATGAAGGTCGGTGAGGTCACGTTAGCCCGACGGGCCAGTTCGGTCAGCCGCCGGTCAGCAGACAGGGTCAGCTCGGATCGGAAGGTGAGCTCCCGCAGCACCCGGTCACGAATTGGGTGAAAGAAATGCACCGCCGTCGGGTAGCCACCGATAAGGTAATCCCGATCCTCTTTTGCGTCTTTGATTAGCGCATCCACGCTAATCTCGGTCCAGTTGTAGTTACATCCAACGGGTAGCGGGCGTGTTGATAGTGGTTCGAAGTACTCCTCGAGGGTTTCGGCCATCTTTGGTAGCAGCCAGACTGGTCGATGAAGGATGTGACTGGCCCCCAGCAGCGTGGCGTATTCAAACATGATGTTACCGAGTCGACCACCCTTTGCGGCAGAGAGTAGGCGTCCCGACGGTGGGCAGTTCAGAACTGCGGGCCTCTCCGCCGGTGGAACACTCTCGGGCCTGGAGATCCTCTCAGGTGGAACCCTCTCCGACTGGGCCATCTCAGAGTGTGGAATCCTCTCCGGCAGTTGGGTCCTCTCCGATATGACTCTCTCCGATGTGACCCTCTCCGGCTGGAACTTCGGGTGCGGGACCCTCGCCGGGGGGTCGCAAGGCTCTCCGCGAGGCCGGAGCTGACCCCTGGAGTTGACGAGCAGCAGTAGTAGTGTGAAACAGCATATCGACACCAGGAATGTTGAAAGAGCTCTGTGTGAAAAGCTGGCCTGCCAGCGCAATGTCCGGAGTCCGGCGGTCATGGGATCCGGACCTCCGGGCCCACGAGGGTGGAGCAGTACCAGCAGTCTGAAAAGAAAAAAAATGGCCAGTAGTCATGATCAATAGCAATGATGATCAGTAATCATTGTGTTGACCAAAAAGCAATGATGATCAGTAATCATTGTGTTGACCAAAAAGCAATGATGATCAGTAATCATTGTGTTGACCAAAAAGCAATGATGATCAGTAATCATTGTGTTGACCAAAAACCAGTACCAACGCTGTGTATTCATTATCTATGTCGTAGATCGTATTGTATTCGTAAAGGTAGGTTAGGTACTGTGGTAATCTTAATGTAATGCATGACAATATCAAGCATCAAATACAACCGACATGTAGAGCGTGATATCTTCGACACTTCGTTCACTTGGGCCTTTAATTTGAATACGCTCAATTGTGGCCTCCCACTTGTCACAAATTAACTGTCACATGACCTTATAAATATAATTCAGATGCCAAAGTTGTTTCGAATGCGCCTCGGCTAGACCTTTCAGACGCCGCCTCGTGCGCCTTGATACAGTGTTGTGCCCCGTTTGACAACCGTTATTCCTCATTATATTTACATATATAAAAATCAAAACGTCCGTATGTATGTATGTATGTATGTATGTATGTATGTATGTATGTGACGCGTCAGTCACACTTGGCGGGCTATTGCTCCGGAACGGTGCGGGCTACGGGGGTGAAATTTTGGGCGCAAGTCGGACGCGTGCATCTGTTTGTCGTATCAACTTTTCGAGGGGGTGCGCTCGCCGGTTTGCACGTGGCGGGCGCATCTTTGCGGGATTTTGGGCCGCGGTCGGCTTCGAGCAGAGAACACGCGCATTATCCTCAGTTTCTTCGCTTGCAAAACTGAGCGAAATCAGAGCCGGAAGGTCACTGACCTTTGGCAATGAACACCGGCGCAAGGCACCACCGGCCAAGAGGAGACGTCAAATTTATTCTGGCAATAACTCGGCCACTACTGGGCCGATTTTAAAGAAAATTAATTTATTACGCTGCGCGTAATGCTGTCCCTCTAGTCATGCATTAAAAAAAAAATGCAGCTCCCGAATATTTGGAAAAAGTGGGCACAAACATTGTCAAGCCTTCTGAAGGGCAAGGTGGCCCACAACGTGATCTGAAGACTGCTCCGTTTCAGTATGGAAGAGACTAATTACATATAATATTGTAGAGCATGTGTGCACCGTGCATACAGCGAATAGGCGCAAAGTACATGGGGCAGTTCATGGAAGAACATACAGCTTCTCACCCCTGGTATCACGCATGGGCATAAATGCAGTCATGGGAATGGAGTGGTGGGTAAATTTAGAACATTTGCCTTGCGCTTGCAGTCAGAACAGCATAGTTTGCGAGCAACAAATAACCGATGCGGTAGCTTGTGAAATGATAGCTATCAACACTTAAACGGCTGCACTGTTCCGGTTGAGTGCCGCAAAATGTCGTTAATGTCTCGAGAAAGGGATTCATGTATGGGAGGTTTCCTGTGAGGGATACGTAAACACCGCGCATTAATTTCACAAAAAGCTGCGCTTCGCTTGACCGCGATCTCTGGCCGCTCCAAACATTTGTGATGTCTCTTGACAGAACATTTGTGAAGTCTCTTGATAGCTTACGTTAGCAGCGAGGACACGGGATGAAACGGTGATGTTCATCAGTAGTCATGATGCGTAGGCTGTACGATTTCAGTTGCATAGAATCAGCATCGCATTGTTTTCGAGCGGGCGCTCATATTATGTAAATGCTAACAATGTTGAATAATTTATTGTAGTATATGCCGAAGTCCTGCCACATATCTGATATCTTAGTTGATGAAGAGTTGGATTCCCAACAGCGAGGGGAGTCTTATCGATTCGAGCTCCATATATGAGACTCCTAACGGCTAACGGGAATGGTCCGCGGTTAGTGAGAGCATCCGCGGCCAGTTGAAGTCGGTCGCTTTGACCATGCTTTGACGAGCACGCTTGGCATTTACACATATTTTTCAGTTACTCGGAATTTCAGTATGGGACGGTAAAAGTCGGGGCTTATACAACGAGAGCTGCTTGGCGTGGGCTCTAGTTTTGTCAGTCCGTCCATTCAAACATGCGAGCTTAATTTATTTAAAAAGGCTGCTAAAATTTTGGAGAGCGCTGTTTGCGGTTGTCTGTAGATGGTCAGTGACACGTTATCTCACGTGAGTCCGGCTTGTCACAATTGAAACCAGGGCTGCGGAGTCGGTGGTTTTTCGGGGACTGACCTTCACTCCGACTCCGGCTTTCAAAGATCGACTCCGAATCCGGATAAAACTGTCGACTCCGAACGACTCCGGCTACGACTTCGCAGCCTGGCAGGTCTGCAGAGTCCATGCATTTTTGGTGACTCCGACTCCCACTCCAACTTCGGCTTCCAAAAATCAACTCCAATACCGACTCCAACTAAAAAAAACTGTCGACTCTGACCGACTCCGACTCCGACTCCGCAGCCCTGATTGAAACAGCGATGAGCGATCTCCTCCCCTCCCGCGATAGATAGATTTCCCGCCGATAGATTTCGTCGTAATATTGTTTATAGATGATGGATACACTAGATGCCTAATGTAAAGCTCAGGTCATGACCGAGTTTCACCTCTACGCTGCTCACTGCTCATTCTTATATAATTGAACAGGTGATGTCTAAAACCCTTATAAACATTGCTGAGTCGGAGCGAAGACAGCTTGATCAACTCCGACTCTTGGCTCGTTGCGACATCTGGAAACTTCGGCTGTGAGGGTGGAACGAAACTCCGCTCGGCTTTTCGCGAATAACTCGTGCAAAAAAAAGCTGCCGTTTCGTGATAACATTTTCAGTACCCTTGACTTGATCAATTTTGCATCTACCCTTAACATTTCATAACCCTGGTTCGAATGACGTTTGACATGTGACCTGTTTCTTTAGATAATGTCAGGTCGGAATTTCGCGATTCGGCATATATTAGCTCACATTTTCCAACATGTGAAATGTGTTTGTCCCATGTATTATGGTGGGTGGCAAGGTCACATTAAGGGAAAATCCGTTGACCTAAGATGAATGTGGTTGATTTATTGAGCTTTGCATGTTGTCAGGGCAGTTTTTGGAGCTGATTTCTAATTAAACACCCATTTGAATATTTGAGTGGTTTTGGTGCCTATGTAACATGCTATGAAGCTGTCAGTGGTTGTTAACACCTATACTTTGGGTAGCCGGCAAGATGCTTACTGGCTGACCTGACCTGACCTGACCTGCCCTGCCATCACCTGACCTGACCTGACCTACCCAAATGCATCAATACATCATCGTTGATGGAGATTTGCATGAAATCTGTAATCAGAACCCCGAAAAAAAACCATAACATTTCTTTACGAAGTGCTAGGAGTTCCCGATTTCCCCGAATTTTGGGTCATTGGCCTAGCCTGGGAGGTCAGCCAATGGCCTAGGACCTGAAAATGGGGTATCATCGGCTTCCGCGCGTCACGGGCTACGGCTTGTTATTCCGCGAAGATCTAGCTCCACCAGGGGCCAGACGGCTGTGGGGTCCTGCTGATCCCCTCTTCTACGGTAGGCATACGCTGTAAAAAGGCAAATCCGGGCGAGGTTTGGGATAACACTTGTTTTCATGCACGATATGACGCAAAAACACATGGCTATGAAACGGTTGTTTTGGATACAGAAACGTTTCGAAGTTGTTGAAAGTATAAATATTTAAATTGCATAATATAATTTTGCTTTTCTACCCTAATATTTTGGTTTTTGGAGAGATAAAAACATGTGTGATAGCCTTTTCACTAGGCCGACTAGGCTATTGTACAATTTCCACTGGAAAAATTTCCACCGTTACGAATAGTTGATTGCGATTTTCAGAAACTTCTTGACGTTCCACATAAAAATTGTATCATGCAATTTATGAAGTCAAGCTGCATTTATTAAACACTTTTTGCGAATATTCCTACATTTGAAGCTACATGTTTTACCTGGATGTGACCCGTCCCTAATTGCAAACTATTCAAAATGACCTCGGACGGCATATCTTTTTTTATTCTACAGCGTGTCACGTACGTACTTGGGGGTGTGATCTGACTTGACCTGACCCGACCCGACCCGACTAACCCGACCCCACTGCACTGGCATGACTTGACTGGACGTGACTTGACCTGAACGAACCCGACTCGGCACCACACATTATCTGACCTGACCCGGCCCAAACTTGCCCCCACCTGACTTTTCACGACCTGACCCGATCCGCCCACTATTCAAAAGCCGTTTTCACGACGGCCATCTGATACACATTTGGGGCGGATAAGGAGCAGATTTGGTGCAGATTTGGTGAAATTAGGCTCATTTTCTTAACCCTCGCCCGTATTGGGGGGGGGCGAAGATCCCCTTCGTTTTTTCTCCAATAACTCGCGTAAAAAGCGGCCGATTGCAACGAAACCTAGAGTATCCTCGCGATGAGCAATTTTACACCTACCCTGAAAATTTCTGATCATGACCCAAATGACCTTTAGCCTATGACCTACTTTTCCGAGACCATGTTTGACCGGAATCGCGATTCGGCGTATGTCGGCTCGCATTTGCCGCGCGTTTGCACTCTTTTCGTGGTTTCAAGCGTTCAGACATGTGATATGATGCTGGTACCATGTATTAGGGTCGGTGC